TAAGCCTAAACACTCTCTTCTCCTTTCTCTTCCCCCACTCATGTATGGTACAAGCATACTGACAACATGTAGAAGGCTAGCAATTGGAGTGTCATCTCACAGTAGATGTCAGTAAAATGAATATCTTATATTACGGGCCATCACTGGAGATCCTCAAAGCAACTAAAGACTATTGGACATCTACAACAGAACCTTTAAATAAACAGTTTATGGGGGGGTTGGGGGAAAACACACCAAAACCTGTTCCTTACAGGTCTGCATCCTCCTCTTCATTAAAGCTCTCATAAGCCCACAGCAACTCCTCCTAACAACTCTGCCTTTTGGTTCTCTCTCACATTTCCTAACCAGCAGGCCTTTCCCCTCTCATTCTCTGAATAATAACAATTATTCTTCATGCTCCCTAATTACTGAGTGGGAGCAAGTCAATATTGAGCCACCTTTCACATCATGGTTATGCTAAATGGCCTGCTGACAGGCTGTCAGGTGGAAGGAGCCATACAGTTTTGCCTTTCACACAGTAGTAATTTTCACAAAGCTTACAGGACCTTCACATTTCAAGATGCATTTTTTACTACTTACAATCACACAACCAAGGAAAAATGAATAAACACGTAGCCAGAGCAACTGCACAATCAAGGCCAAACTACATCTCTTGGCATCAGCAAAAACCTTGTCTCACATCTCTTTTATTCAAGCTTCTGATCTTAATTCATAGTTTAATGTTAATAAATGTTACACATTTTTGAAGGAAACTCACCGTTTTATTACGAAGTCTAATTATGTCTGAAACAGATCCAGCTCCACAATACTCCATAACAATCCACAGATCAGTGTTCTTAAAATAGCTGCCATAGTACTTGACAACATAGGGGCTAGACAGAGAGGAAAAAAATATAATAATTAAACACATGAATTCTTAATGGAAAAAGAAAAAAACAGCAGCACAAATATGTTAAAAATTACAGTTTGGAAAAGAAAAACAGCCAAAATGCAACTGTAATCAAATACATTTTAAAGCTGTAGTTAGTTTAATCGATACCTTTTTAGAACAATAAATTTGACCAACTAATGATACTACCATACACATCACAAGCTTCTAGTGACGCTCCTTTTCAATTCCTTGAGTTAGGAAAGTTACTATTACTTCTGACAAAAACCCACTGATTTTTGTGACTGTCTTGTGAAAGTTAGCAGCCAGCTATTAATGAAAACAGTGTATTCATACTGATCAGGACAAGATAATGAAGACAGCAAAAGCTATTCAATCTCAAAACACTGTTCACGTTTAGTTATAGCCTTGTCCTAGCTAGCTGTATGAGCTAGCCTTTTCCCATGAACTGACTTAAAAAACACAAGGACAGCCCAGCCACACGTGCTAAAGGGCTTTCTCCTCTTTTCCTATTTAAAGACAACTTCAACATCACCACAGGACAAAAGCAAAAACAACTGAGAAACAACAGACCTATTGCTGCACTACAGTTCACCAAGTTAGTGACAAGAGCAATCAATATTTTAAAGAAAAAAAACGTTTCTCCCAACAAGAATTAAATTTCAAGTTGCAAACAATACTCTTGAAATGCTGATCAGCCATGAATAAACACACTAGCAAAGCTGACTGAGAAGTTGTAACCACAATCTTAAGATTAACCCAAAAATAAAAAAGACAAAAGTACCAGTAACTTTATGGGGGGGGAGAAATAAATTTCTACATTTTTGCCAACACTTGATGCTGAGGCCTCCATTCACACAATATTAAAGATGCATTGTTTTTCAGCAAGCATAAGGGAACCAACCTTCAAAACTATTAGAAGATTGCTAACTTATCAAGGTGTGTTTCTGCATGAAAAAGCTAATGATACAACACCACTTCGGAAGTTCACAGCTAGCTATTAATTTTGCTCTAGGAATGTCCCTATTGGTCTTGAGAAACAGGTAATTCAGAATTCACATGGCCTAAGCAGATATACAGGAAATATTAACCTCTGGGCTTGCCAATGCAAGTAAAACAAAGCAAGCATGGAGAATTCTAAGCAAATGCAAGCACTTCTTTCATTTAACAGTTTCTATGATGTACACTATCTGTACTTCCTTCAGCTCAAGTTAAGGATAGGAGTTGGTCTTCAAAGCTGTTTCTTTACACAGACCGTTCAACACAGACTGCTTTAATTTTCCACATTAAAAAGTTGGCAGCTGCCTATATTTCAGCTGTATTAAACAAAACATTACAAATACATTTTCACTTAAGCCTTAGAAAGGGAGGAGAACTGATACACCTACCTGTCACATTGCTGCATTATAGAGATTTCTTTAATTATTTCTTGAAGGTCAGACTCCACAGGGACCTGCTTAATTGCTACGACTTGCCCAGACTCTTTGTGTATTGCTTTAAACACACTACCATAAGACCTAAAAGAGGGATTCAAAACGTTATTTTTCTTATAAGATAAGTTGCCTCTCATTTCTAGTACACAGAAGTCATGTGTTCATGTAGCAGAAGTTCGAGGTTTTTCTCAGGCTGCCAATATTTCATTTCTATCAGGATCTCAGCAAAGGTGTGCCTCCAAACACCAAATCTTTGACAAGGTGTAGCATATCTCATTTTCATACAAGCACAAATGTCTTTGACTTAATAACTGAGGAACAGTAAAAGCATAAAAATAGATCTGGGGAAGCATGGAAGCTCACTGATGCGTGTATTTGTTTTATTATCAAAAGTTGCCTAGAGAAAGCACTCCTTAGGACACTTACAGTCATTCTCTCTGTAACTTAATATTCTAACACATGCTTCACGTACTGCCTTCCTCTCATCCCATTCCCTCATAAATAGCTGCACTTACCCTTCACCAAGTTTCTCCAGAACATCAAAGACCTCCTCAGGCTGCTTAGTTAAACTGTCCTCACTGAGCTTTTTCAGTTTGCTAGAAAAGAAAAGACAAAACTTGTTTATTTTTTGTGGAATAGAAGCACAGAACTCAGAGGAAATTTTCACACAAGTGAACAGATGTAAGAAAAGGATTACAAGGAAAAATATATTGCAATGAAAATAAAATGACTAATTAGAACACAGTAACAGAACTCTATCAACCACCTTATAACATGGACAACTGTACTGTATTGTTGCGCTGTCAATTTTTGTCATTATTGCTTTCTCACTGATGTTTGTTCAACTCAAAGCAGCGTGGGACAAATTTACTGTCAAATCTGTTTCCTTTGCTAAAGCAGAAACAGCTCAAGAACACACTAAAGCACGCCTTTAATCAAAAAGCCAACAATACAGTCATTACTGAGAGAAGTATCCCAAGCCAGTATCTATGAAAGCATAAGCCAACCCTTCACCCACCTGAAGTTTCCAGTTTTTAAACTATGCCATCTGTAAACTAGTGGATTACATCAAGCTAAACACAGAATCCAAAGCCAGGATGACTCTAGAAGCACTTGGCAGCACCTCAGCTACACGTACAGTAGCAAAACACTGCATTTCCAAGAATTAGGAACTGTTGGAAGAGTTGTTGGTGCAGGTGCTCTTTTCCCCTCCAGCCTTCTTTCACAGTTGCAAATTGCTCTGCATTGCACTGTCACTTCTTCCAGCACCACCAACCCACTCCCAACATTCATCCTTTGTTTCTTACAGCCTATCCCAGCCTTTCCCTGGCCCCCAGACACCACACAGATCTAAGACCACCACCTGGCTGCAAGCCTTTGATGAAGCTGACACTGAACATACTGCAGGCAAATATAGCCACCCAGATATTGAGACTGCATGGCTGCAATGTGTAAATCTGTCATCCTAAAAGTTACAGGGAATTATTCTACAAGACTGAAGTAACCAGTTAACTCTATATGGTAGCCAAAGGTACTATTAAAATAGGAGACAAGCTGAAGAATAGCTGGTGCTGTAGTGCTAGACAATTCCATATGCAGGAGGAGAAAACGGTGAGGAGAGAAGCTATGAAGCACTGCACGTCACTGAGACCTTATAGAAAATAGGTTATCCTGTGACACTTTCCTGGAAATGAATACAAAACAGGGGAAGCGAAGAGAGCACAAACAGAAAAAATTGTCAAGCCTAACATAAGAACAGCATTCAAAAGAAAATCCTTCTTATAAAAAGATATATTTCTGTGATTCACAGAGAATAAATCAATAAATCAAGTAGTTGATAAAGTAATTCCCAAGTCAAAAGGGACACATAATGCTAATCTTCTAAGTAAAGACAAAAAATTGAACATGGATAAGTGCACAGTAATGCAGATTGGTGTTAAACAAGGGAAGCAAACTGTGCATGTGCTACACATAGATTTATATAGCAAACAACTCTTCGACAGATGGAGCAGCGATATGAGTGCAAGAAGTACCCATCATTGGTAAAGCAAGGTGTCTCAACTGCTGTAAAGCCCACGCAGTTAGCTACAATGAACAGGCAGGAAGCTGCAAAGTGTGTGACAGATGGGAGAATAAAAACCTCCCCTATGAAGGTAGAGCAGAACACAGGAATAGAGAGAAAACAGCTGAAAAATCAGATGAGAGCAGCTAAAGAATGTCTGCAAAAGCAGCCTACAAATCAAACACAGGAACACACTGCTATGCTTTCTTTTTCACATTCTGTCTGCTTGTTAAGAGACCAGAAAGCAGGAAGATGGAATCAAGTCATGAAGGAAAGCATATAGGCAGTAACAAAACAAATAAAGCAGAAGGGGAGAAGACTTGGCAGGCAAACATTAAAGAAATCATTCATTCATTTTGATTTTTTTGTTTCAAATTCTTTCCCCCTTATCCCCAAGCTCTGTCCAGGTTACCTGTATCCTTAAAGGCAGCGCTAACAGAAGAACATTTATTATAATCGTTCTTTGCCTGCCACCAACGGAAAGCAAACGCAGTATGTTTACGCTGTCAGCAGAGCCTCAAAAAATGAGAACCACGACCATTTGCTGAGTCTGTTACCTGACCGAAGAGCTGCACAACAAAAGACATACTCAAGAGAGCAGTGCAGGGCCTCCAGTTTTTAGTAGTAAGGAAAAAAAACAAACACCACAGCGACCTTGCTGAAAAATGCAGAAGAAAACACTTCCACCTGCTCCAAAGAACAGTGCTTTCTAAAATAAGAAAAAGGCAGGAGGGTATACGTTCTGAAGCACATCCTGAAGAGATCTTAACATTTCCCACTTCTAGATGTATCTGTTTTATCAATTCTGCTTCAATGAAAGAGAACTTCAGGTTATTGGAAAAGCTCTTCAACTTTTGGAGACAATCAAGGTGAGGTGCCTGGCCTCTGAGCACCCTGCTCTAGCTGTAGGTGTCCCTGTTCACTGCAGGGGAGTTGAACCAGATGGCCTTTTAGGGTCCCTTCCAACCCAAACAATTCTATGATTCTGTGATATGCTCAGTGACAAAGGGTTTCCAGCAGCACTGTTAATGGTAGCACGTTGCCTGTCAAGAGCTACAGAAACCAGTTTATAGCTGGCCATGACTGAACAAAACCAACAAAAACAAAAAACATACAATATCTCAAAAACAAAAGCACCTTGGAGACTGAAGAAATAAATATAGTGCAGTTTTAAATTTATTTGCACATTATTCAACTCTGACAAATGTGTTCTGAGACCAAAGAGAACTGAAACCAGCACAGTTAAACACACCAAACCCACTTAGGTGCAGAAAGACATGTTAATCTCAGGAATGTTATCAATAAATATACTGCTCAAAGTACTTCACAGTGCTTCACAGAGATACTGCAGGATTACAAACACTCAGACCAGTATTCGGGCAGTTGTATTAACACTGCAGCTCTTTGAACTACAGAAAGATCTTAATGGCTCAAACAGCTTAAAAGCTGGGAATTCTATTGACCTTCTAGAAATAGGAAACATTAAACAGCAGTTCATGATATAGCCTGAAAGGGCTGCCACAGAGAGTGCTTCTGAAAACTTAGGGAGAAGCATGGAGGAAGATGGAAGCTGTCATGTCAAGAGGATGAGGAGCTACGAGATACAGTCCTTTCCAACCTTGCAATTCTAGGATTCTCTGTCTAGTGTAGTGTAAAGCACTAGGTAGAATACAAGAAGAAAAGGGCTAGAGATATTAACATTAATTAATTAAGAGTTAATATCGCTAGTCTTACAAAGAAGCGACTAAAACTACAGACAGAGAAACACATCTGAGACTTCATTACCAGCCCATGTGTATCCATTCCTGCCATTTGTCCAGCCTACCAGCATCACCTTCCATGCATAAGGCAAACATGACATACTGAGCCTAACACTCAAGAAACATCACTGCTTCTTCTGAAGCATTAAGGTGTTCTACACTAAAAGTCAATGCTATGCACTCAACAAAATGCCTCCCTGCAACGGTGGGGGCACTGAAGGGACAAACTGGACAAGAACCATCCGATTAAAAACTCCAATTTCTCTCCCTTCCAAGCCCTTTCCTTTTAGAAGAAAGTGCTTAAGTAGGACATCAGCCAACACAGACACTCTGGCCACGGGATACAGGTGTCACATGTATAAACCGTGAGAAAGCCTAAACAAGATGGTAACTATAAACACTAGGGAGAAAGTCATTCCAGAAGGGAGTCCACAAGCATCAGGTAATGATCATGGGAAATTTCAGTGGATGTCCAGAAGGAGAACTCTTCCTGCATGCAGCTCAATTACAGGTCTAGGACAAGAGCCGTCAGAAGGGTTTTCTAACTCCAAGCAGGTTTGACTCCCTGCATCTGGCCTAGTTTCTCAAAGAAGAAAAATGCACTCTAAGAATTTTACTTCCATAAACCCAGGTGATGGGAGACAACATCCATACTTACTAGCATGTCTAGAATCTCACACATTACTGAAGTACTCCAACAAAACAACTAAGTGGAAGAAAAAGATTGAGACAGTCAGTTACCCATGACTACCATTCCCAGCATAAACATCAGAAAAATCTCAACTGGGACCTCAAATAACGTGAGATTTTCTCCTATCAACACCTGAAAAAGAACTATGATTTCAGTGTCCTGTGGTCACAACATACAGATTTTACAGAATAAATTGGTGATGTGTTACGGAGGCAGATATTACAGTAAAAGTGAAAAACTGACCACTAACAGAAAAATAAAGCAAGACTAAAGATACAGCTCCAGCAATTACCATCATGAGTTAGGGAAACCTGGAGAACTACTTGAAGAAACATGAATACGTGGTTTATTTTGCAGAAGAATTAGCACGTTGAAACACTCAAAAAGAATGGCTGGCATCAATTATACGGATGCACTGCAAGGGAAGAGAAATCACTGCAGTCATCAGAAATAGTGTCAGCACATGAAAAAGCCCTGAGATATTAACATCACTTTACAGTGTTCACACAAATAGAAGTAAGTTTAAGAGAGTTTACCTTGTTATACTGTGTACTTATCTTTAGTTTTCTACCAATAAAACCCAAGCAAATTTGCACATTTTATTTTCAAGACAAATTTGTCATCCATATGAACTTAATGTCACTCCATACGAATGTTAATAACTACATATTTTTCCACACACATTTCATGCTTTAAAAACAAGCTTTTCCCTTCCCACAAGACACGGTTGTATTTCAGTGAAATTTAAACTGAGTTAAGACAAATTACTAGAAAGCCTTAATTAACACTCTCCATGACTGCTACAAGGCCTTTTATTTGGCAGTGGCATGCAGGAGACAAACAAGATTAAAAGCTTTGTATTTGACAGAATTGAGTCTCTCCTTTCCCAGTATGCAAGCTATTTCCTGCTACATGAGCATGTCAATGTAAACAGAAAAATGCAATGATAATAGCAGGGACAAATTATAAACAACTCGAAGGCAGACCCTGCAGCTAAAATAACTGTCAGTCACTTCTTGTAACTGACTATAGGAAGGGCATTCACTTTAGAAATAATGAGCTACAAAACACATCTAAAATAGATGCAACATTCAGATGCAAGGGAACACCTGGCATCAAACTGTGACAACTGTTGACTATAAAATCAGAATGCCCACCCTAAATTATTCTTTTAAAAGTAACCATTATTCTGAAACAACTCCTCAGAAGTCTTCAGTTACTGCTACTATCTTGCCAGTTTGATATCATTCCCATTTGAAAGCTACAATGGCCTGATTTGTCGCTGAGGCACCATCAGGGCGACTTCTGAAGGCCTGTTTTAGAGATTTGCAAACATCTACCCACATTTCATGTGTTCCTTTACAGGGAAAGTGGGAATAAATGCCCTTCACCTGCGAAAGAACACTGAGATTTTAAGAAGCTCTGAAATGCGTGCATGAGATTCTTGCTGCCTTCAGACAAACGTCTCACACAGCACATATCACCCAACAGGTCCCTCTCAGTAGCTGCTCCCGTGGACAGCAGGCACTGACACAAAGCCACCTGGTGATCCCATCTGCTTTTCCAAGAAAACCTGCTGTGTCCATCCCAAGTCACTGCTGCATCCAAAGCACACATTGAAAACATGCAGCCCGCAAGAAGTCATCTGTACTCCTTCTGCACTTGCAGAAGGAAGGGGGACTTAGCTGAACACTTGAAGACACCACACAATCAGAAAACTGTAAAAAAATACATAATAATAATAAAAGATAAAAATAACAGATGAAGAGGATGTATGCACACAGGCTGCAAAATTACTATTTTATGAAAAAAAAAATTCAATTCTTCTAAAGGGAGGTGGATGGTGAATGGATGAGGCCAGGCTCTTCTCAGTGGTGTATAATGACAGGACACAGAACAATAGCCTAAAATTTGAACGTAGGAAGTTCCATACAAAGATGCTGGAGAACTTCTTTACAGGGAGTGTAACAGAGCACTGGAACAGGTTCCCCAGAGAGGTTGTGGAGTCTCCTTTTCTGGAGACACTCAGAACCTGCCTGGACACCTACCTGTGCAATCTGCTGTAGGGAACTGCTTTAGCAGGTGCTTGGACTCGATGATGTCTTGAAGCCCCTTCTAACTCCTGCAATTCTGTGATTCTTCCTTCTCTTCAAGAAGCAAACCCACTAAGTTCCCATCATATTTAATCTTCCAAAAATAAAACTTCAAAAACTATGATAAGAACATGCAGGAGTTAAAATGCTCACATACTGGCTTTCCAGTTCTTCCTGATTCAAACTAAGGATTCAAACAGCTCACCAACAGCAATTAGTCTAGCCACAAGCTTACAGCTAGCTAATAAAGCTAGAGCAAAACTAGCTCTTCAAAACAAAACCAAATAAAGAAATGCACACAATGCTGCAGGTTATGCTAACTTCAAGTTTTATTTTCGCTCCTTTGATATCACCAGATCCCAAGCTTTGCACTGGTGCCTGTAAAATTGATTACTTCTCAGGTACTCCCATTTCTCCTCCTAAATCCTTACTGGTGCCTCTCCTGCTCCCTGCATTCAAGGTACGGAGCATTGTTAATCTGAAACCACACCGCAGGCCTATCCTTCCTCCACTGCATATCCTGAAGTGTCAGACAAACTTTAAAACAACTGCTGAAGCCTTCTCTTCTTAGTCTTTTAAATAAGAAAAAAAAAAAAAAAAAATGCAGAAAACATGTTTGTAGGAAACACTGTCAACAGTATTACCACCAGTTGTAGGAATTAACTCAGTCAACAAAATCCCATCTTGCTGCTTCTACATTAAAGACTGCTCTGCCCTTTATTGTGCATCACAGAAACGCACTGGGCCAAAATGTCCAGCTCAGAGCAAGGGGCTTCATCACAAACGTCAAACATCAAAAAGCTTATCATCAGACCAAAGTAATGCCTAGAGTAATTCTTCTCATGTGTTCAACTAGGAGAAAGACAAAACTGACCTCCACGTTGAGCACAATGTAAATTTGATGGAAGCCAGACAACCTTTTGTTTGGGATCATAGAATGGCCTGGGTTGAAAAGGACCTCAAAGATCATCCAGTTTCAACTCCCCTGCCACAGGCAGGGTCACCAACCACTAGACCGGGCTGCCCAGAGCCACATCCAGCCTGGAATCTGAGAATCTGGGATCTGACACCATGATAAAGGCACTCAGCAGAACAACTGCTAGTTGACTCTTTGCTAAGGGTTTCAGCAGCAGACTTGATAGTTACTTGATGTATCATGGGAGAAAGAAGGACACAGGTCCATGACAGCACTCTTCTGGAGCCCCAGGAAGTCGTTCTAAGAAATTTCAAAGGCCCTGAACATAAACGACTGTGTTTACATGAGGGAAAAAAAAAAAAAAAAAAAAGTTTATTATCTCCTGGCAGAAGAAAAAAATAGTAACTACATAATATAAGCTAACAGGAAGTAAAACAGTTGGAGCTCTAACACAGCCAGTATGTATGTAAACTAAGTACAGCCCGCATGTCTCACGGCTCTGCTCCGCACAGCACATATCTGCACCACGAGAAGGCTGCTCCAACCTAAGCATGCCCACACGGTCAGGTATTTCATGCTGTTCAGATGACAGCAGCACATTTACAGCAAAAGCTGGCGGTCTCACGTCCTATCTCACGCACAAAAGGCAAACAAACATTAAAAATCAAAACAATAAAACAAAGGTTAAAACGAAGATTCGCGTACGTACTTGAGGAAAGCCGCTCCGAGCCCACCTCAGCTCGCCCGGAGGCGCGGGGGGCCGGCAGAGAACGGGGCGCTCATCCCGCCCGCCCGCAGCCCGACCCCCGCCGGCCCCGCGAGGCCTCGCCCCGCCGCACTCGCTTCCGGGAGGGGAAGGGGCCGCGGAAGGGTTCCGAGGGATCCTTACCTCTTGGGCGCTGCCTGCTCCATGCCGCCCGCCGTCCCCCGGCCGCCGTCTGGGCAGCACCGGGCCGGCGCCCGCCCAACTCTTCGCAACTTTTCCTGCGCGCGCAGCTGGCCCTTTAAGCGCGGCTCGCGCCCTCCCTCGGCCGCGGACGTCGCCGGCCTCTCAGGCAACCGCCGCTACCCCCGCCTGCCCCGGGGCCGCCCCCTCGCGGCTCTCATTGGTTACGAGCGGCGCCATCTCGAGCGCCGGTTGGCCAGCGGAGGCGTCGCTCGGGATGGCCCCACCCACTCGTCGCGGGGCAGGCGGCGGCGCGCCGGCGGGAGGGAGGAAAAAGATGGAGGCGGCCGTGCGAGCGGCCGAGGCGCTGAGCTTCCGGCGTGCCTCGCGTCGCCGCGTCCCCCCGGGGCACGCCGGGAGACGTAGTCCTGCCGAGCAACCCGCGCTTCCCATCCCGCCGGGAAGGGCGGCGGGGCCGCGAGCGAGCCGGGCGCCGAGGTGCCGCCGGGCGAAGGACGGCCGTCCGTCTCCCACACGCTCGCGTCACGCCCCGTCTCGAGGAGCCGGGCCTGCGGGCACGGGCAGCCCTGCGGCGGAGCCTGCCGGCGGCTCTTCTCCCCGGGCCCTTCGCCTCGCCCTCGGGGCCCGCACCTTTCGTCCTCAAAGTAGCGGGGAGCGAGCGAGCCGTGTCAGCGCGCCGAGCCGTGCTTGGAAAGGCAGAGCTGTTCCTCCGCGCGCCCCGCCGTCGGTCAGTCACGCCTGCGGGCGGCAGCGCTCCCCTCAGCTGGCCCGGCGAGGCGGTGCAGCTCCGAGGTGGAAGCGCTGACAGTTGGCAGGAGGCTGCTTTCAGTGCCAAAGCACACAAGTTACCCTGCGAAGCCAGAGGAAGCCATCACGTAATTACTCAAGTAGCAGCTTTCAGGCTGCTGAGTACGGTGTGACAGTTATCTGCCGTTTCTCCACGTTACAACTTCCTATTTTGTGCTGTTTGTGTAGAAATGAACGATGCTGGCTGACAGCTTCCAGGTAGAGTCAACCGACTCAACACAAGAACAGTTAAATGCTACAGCAACGTCCGTATCCTTTCCTGAAAGCAGGTTTATTTGCCGAACTAATGGATGTTAGACATAGTAAAACACTTGGGTAAGATTCATAAAAGGCCAGAAATGCCCATGTTCCACTTTAAGCTGCTTTTAGATGGGCAACAGCACTCAAAACATAGAAAAAATCCACACTCCACACCTAATTTGATTTCCCTGATGGGCATTATAGCAAGGAAATTCTGAATGAATGAAGTCCCACTCTTGTGGAAGTTGTCTACTTCGCCTGAGTCAATTCCAGACAAGTTGACTCACTGTGGTCAGACTAAATGCACAATGGCAATATTGAATGAACCTGTTTAACAAATCACACACGAGCATATGACCTTTTGGTTTTCTTTCTTCTGAATCATGGAAAAATGGAGTAGGACATGTTCCTTTGCACAACAGATCAACACAGAGCTCTTCAGGTATCATCCCTCAAATCAGAGTGGCTCACCAGCAGTACTGCCAGATTTCTCCATACCGCGGGAAACTGTAGGTAGGAGGTGCAATAAATAAATATATAAATAAATAAATTCAAATAAAACCCACACCCGCAAGAAGGAGCCAGCAGCCACTTCAGTCACCGTGCTTTAGGTGGTGGTGGAGGGGAACCCTGCAATACTCCCAACCTGCCTGTTCTAGGAATGGTGAGGAGAGGCAGGTAAGAGATGCCATGTGGCTATTTTCCAACTTCATTTTGGCTGACACACTGACCAGTTATTATTATTTACACTTCACTGATTTCATTGAGCAAAGGGCAGCCTGATATCCCTATTTGGCTGTGACACTTTGGAGGGCAAAGGCTGTCCATCCACATCTTTTAACGCAGGTCTTGAAGACAGTATTTTGTCCAGGTTATTTCAGAGGAGGCAGGTGCTTGTTTTTTTTTGTTTTCTTGTGTTTTTTTTTTTTTTTCCCAGCTCCTCATTTCAAGCCACAGCTGAGATAAGCTGTGCATTCCAGCAAGGAAAAGCAGTCTTAAAAAAACTACAGGTACTACATTATGTCTCTAACATCAAGAAAAACAGAGAGCCAAAAAGTGTTCCATCTCTGCATTCACACCAATTTAACTTTCTTTGGAAAGAAGTTAGGCTAAACAGCCTAATCTGCCACTCCTTCCTCCCCCATTAAAACAGTTGGAGAGATCAAGGCTAAAGAAAACTAGATCTAGAATTTAGATGTTAGCTGTCCTCATTTAGAGGACAAACCCCTCTCCCCCAAAATATAATTTGGTAATTGAGGAAGAAGGGTACAGGAGAATCCTGTAGAACGAGGAGTCTAAAATAACCCAAGATGTCTGAAACAGAAAAAGTTAGGTAACCCAGCATTATATCCTAGTGAGATGAGCAATGCCAAAAAATACAGACTAATTCCATGCCTTTTTCACTCACAGAAGTTTCAGTTGTGCTTTTCTCAAATGCCAGAATGCTTTCTAAGTACATTTATGCTGAAAATAAAATGTCAATAGGAAGATAGTATGTATGCCATAGAGTTCTTCAGGATCACTTTCTTAATCTCTTCTCCTTTCAAGTGGTATTTTATTTATCCTGGTCTTATAGGCATAAAAATAACATCATCTCACCTCTTCACTGCAAGATGAATTTGGGAACCTTGCAGTGAAACATGACACTGACTTGGTATTCATTACAACATTATACCTAGCCACCAGCAAAGAAGGAATTTTGAAAGGGAAAACAGACTCCCTCTGTTCCTACTGCCTAATTCAGGCTTTCCAGTAAAGGGAAGTCTAGATGTTCTGGAGGCATGAATATATGATGAGGTTGCTGATGTCTAGACAACATGGAGATGAGGAAGTTACAGGCAATCTATGGGAGTATTCCCATGATTTCTTCCAAGAGTGGAACTATATGACACTACTAAGAAAGTAGGTGAGTAAGGAAATACTTAATGTAGCCCAGTCTTAAAAATACAGGAGAAAACTGATGTTTTTCTGCAGTATTTCATCCACTTCCACAATCTACCAGCACGTATTAGGACTCTGTTCTCCGTGGAACTGGCATCAACATCAATTCCATAGACCAAAGGATGAATGAAGCCCATACTTAGTTTTTGAGTACTAAAACTATTTTATATTAAAATGTAATTTTGTAAACAAATAAAATAATTTATATTATAATTACTTAAACAACAATAGAATCAGGAATCCTGATGGCATTGACAAGTATAAAGTTTGTGTAACAATCACAAACTAAGATAGTGTCCAAGCCCCTAAGTATATGACTCAGCAAGCTGCAAGATGTCAGTCCAGCCTCAGTTGTGCAGAATTCACAGTGTGTCTGAGAAGGACAAAATGTTACCTGAAAAGCTCATGTCTGAGTCTCTGACAGGTATTACTAATAGTAACATTTAAATTCCAAATATATACTTCAAAGTCATATTCATAAATGTAATGCAAATAAATTCTGTATGTTATAGTAGGAACCTTATCTAGTCCCTTTGATTGCAAATAAAAGAAACATTTACTTCAGAAGGTATTAGAACAGGCTCATTTAAACAGTGTGCATTTTAGCTAATAAACGGTACTCCTAGGGAAAAAAAAAATAATAAAAACACCACAGAATTAATAGTGCATGTTTTTCTGCTGATTTGTGTCGTAAACACTTTACGCTCTTTGGGCAGCATCCCTTCCTGGCATCCACAGTGCTATTCACAGCCCAGCTTCCTTCTCCACATGCTTTCTGTCCTTTAACCGCAGGAGCCCCCCAGTGCTCCCATCTGTCATTCTGCAATGATTTTAGTCACCTTTGCACACTGAAACTCATGGCACCTGTAGTGCCCTAGTAGACACTGATGCATGCTCCAGCTTGAAGCTCTTTCCAAACCCTCCACATCTCCAGCAGCCCACTCTGGCCTTACCACACAATTATGAGGCTGGATCACAGCTCCGTGTTCAGCTGGCAGCCAAAGGCTGGCAGGCTGTGCCACAGCTTGGTGACAATTCCTATAGCCAAGCACAACATTTCCCCTGCTGAGGGTCAAACAGCTCTGCAAATAGGGCATTTCCTCCTTTGTCCATCACCTGTAGGTTTGATACAGATAGGAACTCAATTCATTACAGACCTCCAGCTTGCCGTTCACTGTGATTAATATGATTCCTGTCACAAATTACTGCAAATGGATAATAAAGGAAAAAAGTAAAGGAATAATAAAGGGAAATTTTGGCAGGCAAGCACATAGACAGAATGAATGCAGGAGCTTTGTTTCCTTAGGAAACAAGTTCATAAATTCAGTAGACAAACAGTCAACAACAACATGTTTGCATGTCTCTCAGGGTGATTGCCTGATAGTAATCTGGTATGCTGAAAGTTAAGGAAAAGGCCTTGAATGAAATACCAGCTTGTTTATACAGATGATAAGAAAAACTGCCTTCTGCCTGTTTGGTTTTTTCCCCCACCTATCATGCATAATGAGAGGTAACCTTGAAGGCTTATCTAAGAATTTGTCCTATACTTTCCTAACCCTGTCAGTCATAAAATAGTTAAAAATAAAATATAAAAGAACAGCACATTCTCAAGTTTGGACTAAAATTTCCTTTTTTTTTTTTTTTTTTTAATAAGGTTTTTCGAAGGTTAAGAGTAAACAACTATATTTGTTCTCTTTTCCTGAACTCCTCACTACTTAATAGCCAATTAATACAGCATAAGAGGAAGTTGACTCTTTTGCTGGTCCAGCAAAAGAAAGATAGAAGATAAACAGCCAGGACATAGAGGTACAGATTATAGCACCCAAATCCACTCTGCCAAAACCAGTGTGATTCACAAAGTTCCTAAGATCTGTAATAATGAAATATTAGTTGTACTGCTGCAGCTCTTCCCACTACCTATAATGCATCATGTTAGTATCTGAAACATCCTTACTAGACCTGCAGACACTTGTTGATTAGGCTAGGATTTTCCTGTTGACTGACCATTGAGCTCACAGTCTTAGTATACATAGCTCACAGGCTATGTATAGACTTACATTTGCTATTTTTCTTAATATAGTACACTATGTTTAAATAAACCGTGGATACAGAGTCGCTATTTACAGTTAACCACAAAAGATATCCAAGACTGTAC